TCTTGTATTTTTGGTTCATGATTGTGAGCGACCTTTATTAAACTGTCATGGTAAAGCTTTTAAAAAACAATTTTTGTGCATCAGCTATGGTTTTGTTTATGAATGCAATGCAGAGCATTTTTATGCTATGGATTTTCGGTATTGCAAATTTGCCAAGCCATGACAAACAAGAACGATAGAATACACCAGTTCATTACACCATGCATGACAAATGCAAATGCGTGTATTTTGTTTGTGTATTGCAAATAATTTGCAATTTGATAATTTTATAGAGATGAAATTAGATATGTACATGAAATCAGCAACGTGAATACAAAACCGCAACACGTGATGTTAGTGGTTATAAGGTTTAAATAAATAAATTTGAATAGGTATATACGGGAGGTTTATAAAGATTAATCGATGATAACCTTTGCCTTTCAAGCGCTTATTTAAATAATTTGTCCTGCACTTAAAAATAGCTTTTCAAATTTATTGGAACGTCTGTTTCGGAGACGTTGGTGATACAAGAAATTAATTTGCCATTAAATATTTGAAATATCCAACTTATTCAGCCTAACCTGCTCCGCTGGTGAATGAAACAAACGTAAGTCCACGTTTTTATGCAAATTATACAGCTTGGCTTAGGCATTATTAATTTTTTATTCACAAATTAATTATATAGTATTTTTCCACAAAAATTCAAACGAAAAGTTTCAGAAAAAAACTAAATTTCCACAAAAATTCAAACGGTAAGTTTTAGAAAAAAAAAACAATGATGCAAGCAAATAATAAATTGCCATATTGCCCCCAAAATATATGTAAATACTTCCAAAGAAGCAAAAACTTCAAATTGCATTCCAAAATTCGCCATTGCTGCCAGCTTCAACGATTTATGTGGCATGCTTTGTGCATTTTCATACAATTTATCTTATCTGTCAAAGCGAATCTGTCACGTAAAGCGAAGCAAAAGTTTTATGTGGCATCAGTTTAAAGCTTGATATACAGTTCAATGTTAGCGTGAGCGTGAACGTTCGCAATCATCTATAGAAGGAAGAAATCAGCCGACACGTAAAAATCTAAATTCCGCAGATTTCTGCGCTACGGGCTAAAACTACAGAAAAACTCGGCAGTGTTGAGTTTTCATTTATATGGCGCTTTGGTAAGACAGATCGTATCAGCTGACTCGGGTTTACGTACCGATAGGTTTACGTCCTTGACTAATTTCAGCGTAGGGGCTCCATTAATCGACAAAATTCACGTATATACAGACTGCGTTTAAGTATACGTTCTGCGTTCTTGACTAATTTCAGCTTTAGGCAGTCTGCATACGGGTCGTATACATGACTGGCCGTCTCCACAGGATAAAGGTTATATCTTGATACATATGTTATATAATTTGCCAATGGAGACCGCTCATTGCTCTTCGAGAGCAATATATATCAGAGCTTATATCTTGCCATCTATTGCCGGCAATTTGGTAGTTTCACAGCTACATTTTCATTTGCACGAAAACTTCGTGACTACAACATCATTATTATTTTAATATAAAAGCAAATATTGAACTGTTTTCTGTTAAAATATTTCTTATTATATAATTGGATGTAAAATAGCCTATTTTCTAAATTTTTTAAGTGATTAAATCCGGCAAAAATACGTTTTAGAAGCTATCTCACAGATGCCTATATCAAGATATAAAAAGCCCACACAAATATTGCCACTGATATAATTTATATCTAGCGACTAAAATGACAGTTGGACAGCAATAAATTTTATCCTATATAGACGGCCAGTGATCCAACTACACAAGATCTGACAAGATGAAGCAAAAAAAAAATATTTTTCTGGTTGACGTTTGTAATTTCGGCGCCGCGTTATTTTCTTTGAAAAGTAAACAAACAAATAGTTGCGTTCCAGGTGCTCACGATATTCACGATTTGCAGTTTTTTTATGCAGGAAAGCGTTCCAGGTGCCAAAAAACCTGTAAGTCAAACCACTTTTGTGATAGTAACTTGCTCTCTCTCTCAGTCAGAAGTTGCAGGTTTTAGTCCGAAGTATTTCCTCCTGCAAGTTCATGAAAAGTGTCAAACGATAGGCAGGGTTGCATTTGTAAACAAAACAGAACCTTAAGCGCCACGGAGACAATCAAATAAATACGTCAAGCATTGCATATGTATGAGCTTGGCCCGCAAACGTTCAAATAAACTCGTCAATTAAACAAATTGATTTTTCTTGTCCGCGCACTTGCTCACCACGACGATCAGAAGGAAAGTGCGCTTGTTTTTTGTCAAGCATAACGCGAGACGGTTGATAAAGATATTTGATCGTCTCCATGGCACTTTACATAAAAAAAAAAATCGAAGTAGTAACAGGAAAAGTGGTTTTTCGCGTTCCAGGTGACGTTTATTGTTTCGCTCTCGCTTCTCTCTTTCAAGAGAGTAATTTTGTTATTTGACAGTTTTACAGGTTTTTACACGAAGTTATCTGGAACGCAACTAAAAATGCAAACAATTTTGTAGCACATGTTTGTGCTAGTCAATTTATTATTTTTGTACGCGTTTTTGCAACCAATCACCGCACACTTCATTTTAATTTCATTTGCACACAAAATTTATTGAAAATCGCTTAAAAATCACTGACATAAACCACCGACAAAACACACATAAAGAGAGAAGCAAAACAAAAATAGCAAACTTCAAAATTACGAACGTAACACACTTTTTTCTCAATTGCTATTACAAATGGCCGCTTCTCAATCGGTCAGATCTGTTCTAATTGGTTCATGAACCAAAAATACAAGATCACGTAAGAACGCGTCGTTGTATTTGTAACTGGTTTTGAGAAAAAAGTTTGCGAAAGCGGGTTCGTCAGCTGGGCGTTTGTTTACATCACAAGCACCACTATTTTACACTTTTATTCAAGTAAAGAAGAGTTAATTCAACATGACAACACATTTTAAAGCTTTTTGTTGCATCATTTTACCTAAATTGTGCGTTTAAAGTGGCTGACAATAATTTTGGCTAATTTTGGTTTTCGTTGTTTTCTTTGCTTTGTTTACGCAAGATGGCGTAGAACCCGCTAAAAAAATCGACTTTTTTCACTCTCTTGTTCTTACGTGATCTTGTGTCTTTCGTTCATGAGGTGATGTCAGTTACATAACCTCACTCTTTTGGTAGCCCCATTTCGGCAATGCATATAAATGTAGTAGTAAAAAAAAGGGAACATTTTAGGACCATTTTAACGCCCTTTTGAATACTATTTTTAAAAAGTATGTATTAAAGAATTATTTTACCAAAACAACGTTAAAGATAATAAAGAATAGTTGTGTTAGGTTTACCCATTTCTAGTTATATCCAGAAAAATTGGTACGAACTTTCATGTTGTGGCGTTTTCGTACGCAAAAATTTATTGAGAGAGCGAAACAGCTGAAGTTCAAAGTTTTTACTGCACTTTTAATGGATAAATTTGTACTTGTAACTTGCTGGATGCAATAAACTAATAAGGAAATTGTTTTTGGGTTTTTTTATTGAAATTGACCAAATAAACAAATTTAAATATAAAATATATTGTTTTATTAGGAATAAAGAACCAATTTATCAGCTGTTCATGAAACTTGATAATTATTACTGGATTTGCGTTCACGTACTTTTTTGGATATTTTTTCTTTGAGAGCGAATTCGCAGAAACTAAGTTACTGGAGAGTTGCTGGCGAGTTACTGAAAAAAATTTTTAAACAAACACAACTACTCTTAGTAAGTTTTTTATTCTTTTTAAAAGATCGATTATTTATGCATTATAAAAGGATTTTTGTAATTTTATTTGTAAAGCACTTGTATTGCAGCCTCTAGTAGGTGAACAGGCACAACTTCCAAAACCTATTAAACAAGAAACGCACTTTGACTGACCATTTTATTAACAACCTGGCCAACTGAATAAACTCACCTGAAACTTCCAGCTAAAAATCGCACTTATATCGCAGCTTCTCGCTGAGATAAAAAACACAATTCACAAATCTGTAGAAGGTAAACATAATTAGTCTTTATTTGCCACTTAGCATAAATCCTTAAAATTGGTTACCTAAATTTGTAGTCAAAGTCCGGAAAACCTCTTCAAAAATGAGGAAAACCTCAAAAACGCGAAGAAAGATTTTCTCCAAAGTTTCTGAAAATGTTACTAGTTCGCTAAATTCTTAAATTATTTAATTTTTGATGTTTATTGTTAAGTAGTTTTGAGTTTATGAACGATTTTATTTAGTAAAATTTTATTTAAAACTTATACTCAATATCTCGAAAACTAAAGGAGATATCCAAAAATGGAGAACGCCATTTTTAAGATATTGATTAGTTTAATATGACTGCATCACTAACTAAATTTTTACTAATTTATCGAATTTTTTTTTGTCAATATCTCGGAAACTAAATTAGATATCTAAAAACAGATAACACCAATCGAAATACCTTATTTCAAAATATATAACTGCATCTATAACTAAAAATCGTCAAAATTGCGCTTACGACAATCTTTTATCCAGGCTACGACATATCTCATAGGTTTCTTATAGTTCCTGAACCCTAAATTTTTTTTTTATACAAAATGTGTTATTTTCGTACTTTGAAACTCAAACATGAGAAGAGGATTAATAGGCCTTTAAAATTATGTATAACAATCTATCGGTAGACTTTGATTGTTGGGTGTTTTTGTCGCGTAAAATTTAAAAAAAAAAACCTAATTTTGATTATTTTTTCAACTTTAACTATCGCTTCAAATATTATACTGATACTCGGTAGGGTCGACCACCTACCTGAAAAGTTTTGTTACATGTACATAAACTAATGGCGTTTTCTGTTCTACCAAAAAATGTTGCCTTCTCATTGGCCTCTAGGCACAAATACTAAGGAAAGGGCAATGGGAATGCAACATGTTTTTGTAGTAAAGAAAAAGCCATACGAACACACTGCTTGCTAAAAAGTTGTAGTCAGAAAAATAATAAAGTTGTCTGTGAAGCAATCAATAAATAGGACTAGTTGAATAATGTGTTCCTTGATTTGACGTTATTAAAAGTACGATTTCTGTGTTCACCTAGGAACAATTGATTTTTTTTTTGCTCGCCAAACAAATTTGGGCGTACGGAAATTGTACGGATTTTTCACCCACCACTTTTTGTCCGTGTACGGATTTCAGACACTACACGCCTGGCAGCCCTGTTATCAAAACAAAAACAAATTCGATGAGAATTGTGCAGTGCATTTTTTAATTAATCCACTTTGCAAATTCAAAACAATAACACTAATATAAAAAACAAGGCTTTTGCTATTCCACTTTATCAGATTTATTATCGAATTCCACCTCTCCAACGCGCGTAAATCCTGAGTATCGTACAATTTTTCCTCTGTCGACGTTCAGCTTTGTTGCAAATTGTTGTGCAGGTGACAACTTGGCCTCCTCTTCGCTTTTATAACCATAATATTTGGCCCAATCGCTACGCCCGGTGTAGGCCATGTAGCAAACGAAACCGAATGCGTTCCAGGCGAGTAGCGCATACGCAACACTCAAACGCCGCTTCCAAAGCTCTGCACTATCCTCTGGTATTGGGTTTGTGTTACGACGCACCCAACGCCGCAGCCACTTCATTTGAAAAAGTGCCATTGTTGCCGGGTTTGGAGAAGATTTTTACTTTTTATTAAGTAAATGTAAATATTACGTGCACATCCGCGATGGACTTCTTCGAGCTCTTGCCAACAATCAGCTGGTTACGTAACATGATTTTAGCTAACCCTTACGTATTAACCCAACGAACATAAAAGTTAGGACTTAACAGGAGCCGTAAGAAAGATCTTTATTTTTTTTTACTTATATTATTTAGTTTACTTTGATATTTTTTATTGAATGTATTTCTATTGAGTCCTACTTTTTTAAATTATATTAGTAAGTTTTTTATTTTTGCCTTATTCATAAAGAAAAAAATTCTTCTGGGGGAATTTTTAATTTTTGACAGTTTTACTAGTTTTTGTCCGAGGAATACGGGATTGGACCTGCCATTTCATTTAATGTCAGTTAAATTTCTTGTAAGCGTTAGGCAAAGAACATAGTGATGCGACAAAGAGAGCGACAAGACATTTTCGGATAATAGCGACAAAAACAAACCTTTATTTTTCAATGTGGCAACACAATAGTGCAGCGAAAAGCGAAGAAAGCGATAAAGAGCAACCAACCAATTCGGGGACTACGTGCTGCTAACACAACACAACACAACAAAGAGCATAGCGACGAAAACAAAAAAATTTGTTTTCGTTGCTTTCTAAGCTGACCGTTGCTTCACTATGTTTTGACGTTTCTTGTCACTTTCTTCGCTATTATCCGAAAATGTCTTGTCGCTCTCTTTGTCGCGTCACTATATTCTTTGCCTTAGACATAACGTTAGGTTGTATCCTTGACAGAATCCTTACATACGTTTCTAGTTATTCATTTGCCAACACTACCAAATTGCGTTAAAATTTTCCACCCCTAACATAAATGATAGCGTGGCAGCACTGTCCATGCAAATAATTTACGTCGTCATACGTTTTTTGTTTATTGTGGAAATTGGATTCGTTCTCCAGCAGTTCTCTTTTCTTACTTTTATTAATTTGGCGTTGTTTGCTGAATTATATATTTACCGCAAAAAAAGAAAAAACTTAAATTTGAGATACGAGGTTTACTTTACTACGTCGACAAGGAACGATCGAAATATATAGAAATAAATTAACCGTTGAATTAATTTCGGTAGCCGAGAAAGAGATCAAACAAGATTTAAAGTGCAAAACCAAATTAAATGTAATAATTACTAGCAACACGATTTTCCAGTCTAAGGGCAACTAGCAAGTATAAGGAGAACTAGACCTACAAATTTAATCTTACTATGTGAGTAATAGGAAGTTGCAAATTATTTCAAGCAGTGGCCACAAAAGAGAATTTGGAGGATTGTGCATAAAAAGTTAGTGAAGCTAAGAAAAATTAATTTTGCTTCTAAAGATGCTGCCACGCCAACCAGGAGCCCAGCAACAGCAATCGAAAAGCTCCAATTTAGATTTTCGCAAACGGCAAATTGATACACTTAAAATATTCAACGATAAGTAAGTCGTAACTAATTTATATATTCAACTGTTTATTTAGCTTTACAATTAACATATCAAATTCTATTTATAACCGGCAGTGTTGTTGAAGTGGCTGAGCAGGAGGAATATTGCATACATTTCGAATCTGGTGGACGAACCTTATTACTTACTGTACAGCTTGGTGCGAATTTCCCAAATGAACGACCTAAATTAGTTATATCACCGACTGTACAGCATCATTGGGTTAATGCGGTAACGGGCGAAGTGGAAACGGCGCCTGGATTACTCAACGTAAGTGTTGGGAAGCGTGCGGCGGAGTTACTTGAAGGACATGCTATGTATGGAGAGTGACCTTAGTTTGCTATAAATCAAAACTTGGCGGTTAAGGATGCATTGGTAGCATTTAACAGCTGCTAAATGTTTCACCTTAAACTGACTGATAGTTGTTTGACCTTCGTATTAACGATTTTTTTCATAAGAAAAATTTGCCAGTTTTTTGTACGCAATCAAGGTTTATGCGCGCACACTCGCAAGACTATCAAGGATATGGCACATATGCATGTATGCATATCTACATAGATATGTTTATAGGCCTCATAAATATGTAACTATGTATGTATGTATCTATGTACACAGATGTGAATTTGCATATGACGGGGCGTTAGTTTGTTTGGTGACATTTAGGTGGGATGATACGTGGCAATTTACGTACTTGCATAGTTTTGAACTCGTGTAGATTTCCGGTTAAATGACATAATGGAATGAAAGCTAACCGGCATCAGTAGTGTTACATACAGACACACAGATATATAACTACGTAGTAAGCCTCTGTTATGGGCCTACACCATTCAATGGGGAAAAAAACAAGAGAGGGGATTCTTGTGGATACGCGTTTGTTAGAATGTTATGCATCAGTTTTATTGGGTTGGCATTCCTTTATGGCCGTTCGTTAGAGGAGCAGTGGGCGAAAGGTAAGTAGGCGTGGCACCTCTAACCCACCTCTTTGGAGAGGGAATGAACCGCCATTGACAAAAATGCAACTCCCGACCACCTAGGTCCCCTATGGTTCCCTCGGGACCGCTTAGAAAATTTGCCAAAAATCACAATTTTCATTTGCGTTTATTCACTTGAAAAAAGTTTAAATATTCATTTGCACAATACATTTTTATATACACATTTTTACATACAAGACATTTTTATAAAACACCCAGTAACCAAAATAGACAGCACTGGGGCGGCAGCCCCAGGTTTACCACACAAAGGGAATTCTAGTTACCTCATCCTTTCCAAAGGTTACATCACTGGGGCGGGAGCCCCAGTTAGGTGCACACAGAAAGGAGAATTCTACGTAGTAAGAGTTATAATCCCTAAGCGTGGCCGAAGGCAGAAAGGAATTCTACGCAAAATTACTGTGGACGCAAGTAAAAATTGCGATTTTTGGCCATTTTTCTAAGGGGTCCGTAGGGAACCATAGGGGGCCTAGGTGGTCGGGGGTTGCATTTTTGTCAATGGCGGTTCATGCCCTCTCCAAAAAGGTTTGGTTGGAGGTACCACGCCCACTCCCCCTTCGCCCACCGCACCTTTAACGAACGGTCATAATGGAAAGTTTCCCCGTTTTATTTTCCATATTATTATTAAGACTTTTCTAAGTTTTCTAATGTTTCAAAAGTCCAAATGATTTCTCTTCAACCCTTTATTTTAGTAGATTTAATAACTAATCGTAAACTTTTCTTAGTACTCACCCCATTCAGATTTGGGTCGCGTTGTGCAGGCCGTTATACGCGAATATGAGCGTTTTCCGCCACCTGTAGCAAGTTCTGGCAGTCCAATCAATATTCCAACCCGTTCAGGCAATATCAACACCACAGCAACACCAACAACTGTAGCGGCGAAGTCGCTGGATAGCAGCAAGGAGAATTCACCATTGGATTCGGCAAAATCTTCTAAAACCAATGATAGTAGCTTACCAAATCTATCCACACTATCATTAGATGAGCTGAAGCAGCTGGACAGTGATCCGCAATTTTTCGATGATTTCATTGAAGAGATGTCTGTAGTGCAGCATTTGAATGAGGAGCTTGATTCGATGATCAATCAAGTAGAGATTATATCACGTAAGTGCAAGAGTAGCAAGCGGAAAAATTCGTATGGCTGTTGAACAAATTTGGATATAATATTAATTTCTATTTTATTTACGCAGGGGAAAACGAGTCCAAGGAAACACATTTGGTTGAACTAAAACGTAAATTAAGCGACGATGTCACCGCGCTTAAGCATCTCGGCGAGAAATGCGACCAGCTGAATAAAAAGTACTTAAAAAAATCGGAGGAATATGCACCGCAGCACATACGCGTGAGTGTAGCATTTTCATTTTACTTCATTCAAACAATTAGTAACGATTTTTATTTAAATTCTTAAAGGAGTTGCTACAAATTGCCGCCTCAAATGCGGACAGCGATTGTGATCGACATGTAGAGCAATTTCTCAATGGTAAAATCGATGTACAAACATTTTTAAATAATTATACGCATTCAAAGAAAGTAAGCGCCGAACGCAAAGCCAAAGAAGAGCGCTTGGGTCACCAACTTAGCGCATTGGAACGTGCCGGCATTTAAAAAATAGCTAATATTAGACCAAAATGGTATTGTAAAGTAGCTACTAGACATGGCAAGAGCGAGTAGTTTCGAAAAGTCTGGCACACTCAAGAATTTCCAAAAGAGTTTGCAGAAGCAGATACAAGCCGTGCTCAGAAATGCATCAACAAAATATCAGTCGCTTTTATTACCACGCTTTATCAACTTGTTTGTTTTTATATTATAATTGATAGATCCAATATGCGCAACCCCGGTTAAATACCGAATTGAAATTTATGCCGATTTCGTTTCTGCCAAAAAATGCAACCTTCTCTTTGCCCTCTACGCGCAAACACTAAGAAGAGGGCGATGAGAGGGCAACATTTTTTGTAGAAAGGAAAACGACATTAGTAGCGCAAAGAGGGCCGTTCCATCAGTTATATTTTCGAAAAAAGGAGCTGATGCCTTGGCTTGCTGGATTTCCGAACACAGCCACACCTAGTATTTAAAGTGACTTTGGAAAGCAGTTATTAATTTTCGAAAATAGAACTTTCTGATACAACTCTTTGTCTTTTTACAAGGTGAATGAAGAAAATTTAACTTTCAACTATGTTACCAGACATTTTTATGCGTACTTCATATCAGGAGAATAAATTAATCTGAAGTACTTTTGATATTATTTCAACATTTTTATAATTGTGCACAAATTGATATCACCAAGGTGTATTAAATACATACATACATACATTTTGAATATCACAGCACTTTCAACAAAAATGAGAGCTGATAAGCCAGCAAAGAGTAAGTTGAAATAATTTTTTGAAAGTGATTTGCGCCGTTTCAACTGCAGATACACCATGCAAATTTAAATTCCGCAAGTGATTTCTGCAAATCTGCAAACGGATTTTCTAGATGTTTACGCGAAAAAGTAGACTTTCACTTTCGCATTTTGACCGCAAAAGCTCTTGCATTGTCACGTCTAACCGCACTTTAAATGTAGTTGCTTGCGCGTGATTTAGCTTTTCTAAGGCATGAAGCGGTAAATAGTGTATAAATTTTGGACAAAACGAAACTAAAGCACAGGTATTAGGCCAAAATTGGCAGCCAACCTCCTTTAAGTATGCATATGCATTCTAGTTTAGTCGGTAAGCTTCTACTTTTAACCCCATGGTTAGTGTTTTGTTCAATCTTGAATGTGTTAAATGTCATGTAATATTAAATTGTTAGTAAATCGCCACCAATAGTTGGTGTGTCCATCTCATTAAAAAAAAAATTGTAACAGATTTTTAGCTCTTAAATAAAGTAATTAAATTAGCATTCAATCATAGTCAAGCAGTAAAACTACATACATTTAAATTAATTTAGTGTGTTTTTTCTTGTAAAGAAAAATTGCAATACAAAAAAATATAAAAGGAGAATTAGGTATTTAAATTATTGATCTTGATCTTCTTAAGCAAATTCCATTGTTTTGTCCAAATACATAGTTACTAGTAAACCAAATAAAATATTGAAACATTGTGAGTGAGAGTCAAGAAGAGACAACACAGAAGCTGCATGGGGACTTGACCCACTACCCAAACTCGACTAATTGACTTCATCGCACCAAATGTCGATTTAATGCAATTACATACATATGTATATTCGAGTATTGTATTGTACGTATATTCAAATTTCTCTTGGCCTGTTAAAGTCGCATAGACGAGCATGGGCCGGTAATGCATATTATGTAGCTTCTTTCTTTTCAATGCTCTTTGCCAGAACTCTTAAACACATAAATATAAAATTATTAATTAAATATATGTATATCATGCATACGTGGTGAGTGCATTTAATATTAATATATTTTTTTCATTTTGTGCAATTATTACGTATTGTGCGTAGTAATGTGAAGTGTTGTAATAAAAAAGTGGAAAGTCAAACAGAATTTATTGTGATTTCATTAACCACTTACATAGATATAGTAGATGTAAGCAGATATTTAATGGCAATAAGTGTATATTTTCTTCATTGCAAATAAATTTAATTCACAACATAAAATTAAAAGGCTGCGTTATGTTTGAAGCGGTAACGGTAAATATGTAAAAAAATAAAGGTTAACAGCAAATATTAAAAGGGATAGCTTTTCAAATGTTGTGGATTTGTAAACTAAATTTGTTTCCTTGATAGGTGGTCGTCAGAGTTCCGGGTAGACGAGTGCACTAAATTTTCGCCGTTTTTTTCGAAAATTTGTTCTGAAGGTGGTCGGTTGATTAGAGTGATTCCGGTGAAGGTCAATTGCGACCGCCTCAGAGACTACGTGAACGCCTGCTTAGGTGCCCTACCGTTGCCACCCGACGACCGTAGAGCTGAGCGCGAATTCAGCACGGTCCTAATCCTAAACGCGGAGTCCGCCCGCTACATCCTAGCCGGACGAATACCGGAAATCCGACCAGACTTCCCGACAGAAGCGGCAGGTCCAAGACCGAACTAGGTCAGCCAATCCCGACGATCCCATCTAAACGCTGGGAGCAAGCGCCTCGTCAACAACCATAAGAGGAATACATGTTTGCAGCACCTCAAATCTTATAATCTTCAAGAGGGCGTCAGTAAGCTGTGGACAACGGTGAAGTCCCTATCGAATCCGTCGAAACACGACGGCCACACGTCCATCAAATTCGGTGATGAAATACACAACAACTCTAGGAAGTGCGCGCGAGATTCTGCCGACGATTTATTGCGCACTCTGGGTGGGGTAAAACTCTACGCAGCGTACATCGCAAATCACGCAGCATCCGCCCAACCGACAGGCCACCAATATTCATCCACAACAAAGTACATTACGCGGAATGGAATCGGTCGGCCCAGATGGCAACTCCATACTGATGCTGAAGCTACTAGATGCCCGGGAGTCGAACAGCTTGCCACACACACCATCCCAGAGATCTTGAAGAACGGAAAATTAATCCTCCTGGGAAGAGCGCGGAGTTGGGTGAATCCTTAAGGCCGATCACTAGCCTCTCCCCGCTAGCTAAGACCCTTGAATCGCTACTTCTCCAGCAATTCAGGAAGTTACATAGCACCACAACTGCACTTAACGCCATCACAACGCAAATGGTTTGACCCAAAAGCGCCCATGTGCCCGCACCATTATGGTGGCACTTATAGATTACATTATCTTGTCTTGCGTCCCGCACCAAACGTTGGATCGCCAGTTACCTCTGCGGGAGGCAATCATCTGTTCTATTCCGAGACAAAATAACAAAGCCGCGTAGGATTAAACAACGTGTACCACAAGGCGGAGTGCTTGGCGTCACATTCGGCAGTCTCATGTCCTCCTCGGCACAGACTACTTAAGTTTGTAACAAGCTACAAAACAGAAGCAAGGTTCTCAAGTCGCTGGCCGGCACCACTTGGGGATAAGTTAAAGAAACCTGCACGTGACATATGAAACAATCGGCTGGTCTCTTGCACACTATGCCGCCTCAGTATGGACAGTCGGCAAAAGTGAAACGCAGTGGAAAAATCTCCAGACATGCCAAATTGCCGCTCTCCGAACTGCGTGGCTCCTTATGTCTTCCGAACAACACCTACACGACGAGACAATACTGCTCCGAGTAAAGGAACACACCACGCTGCTGTCAACAGTTCTTGCAGGTATGATCGAAACACGAGGACGCCAAGAAAATATAGTCCTCGGTGGCCGGCCGCTTCCCATCCATATGAGTCTGAACTCCCGCGTAAACTAGCGGGCCGCCTAAATCGTACCAGATTAGACCCGCCCAGCATGCCCACCCATCTGACACCTAAAGTGCTGTGGACTCAACCGATCGATACCGCTCGCTTTCTGGGACTAAGGTTGACGGAGTCAGATGGGGAAGATGAATAATCAACCAACCAAATAAAGGCTACGTGCTGCTATAACAACAGCAACAACCAAATCTGCTTAGCTTTCGAGGCGTACATATTTCTGTAGTTCTTGAGAGAAAATTCAAGGTAGAGCTTTGAAATAAAGCAACTTAACGTACCTCCTTTATGGAGGGACTGCAATGGTGCACGGATGGCTCCAAGGCCCCTCACGGCATTGGTACAGACATATACGAACCCGGTGTCCATGGAAGCATTCTCGAGCATTGTTCAGGTGGGGGTCTATGCCATTAGCCCGTTTGCAGACATTAACCTACGGAGGAATTACCGTAATGAGGGAATTCTTATATTGAGTGATAGCCAGGCGGCATTTATGACCCTCTCATCATTTGAGGTCAAATCTACCTTGATCCTTGAGATATCAACAAGCTTTAGGCCCTGGCGGAGCACAACATCATCCAACTAATTTGGATACCAGGACACATTCAGGGTCTATCTAGGACGGCGGTCGCCTCGTCTCTTATAGGGCATAAGTCCTTAGCTGCGATCGGACCTAGCACAATCAAGGAAGACTAAGAAGTAATTTACCTGCATAAGCTGGGGATCTGGTCGAATGACGGTTGTTGTTTCTGTGATCCGTTTAAGGAGATTCTATTAACCTTGCTTTGCGAGTGCGAGGCGGTGGAAAGAAGACGGGAGAGGTACCAAGGCGAACTCTGGAAAATCGCTAACTCCTGAAGATATCCTAAAATTTCTGGGATCCCTAGGTTTGGATGAGGTACTGTATATGTTTGAGGGCACAATAGACCTCTTGGTCGCAGTACAAACCTCTATATCATCTACCTATCTACATATTGAGCTCCTTATTTTCATTAAAGACAAAGTTCAGGCGGCCACCGGCAATATAAAACCTACCAAAGACATTGGTCTCAGCGGACCAATGCTTGCTTGTTAATGCCATCTTAAGAAGGTCCCCATTTTGACGAAGACGTGTGGAAAAAAAGCGAGGAACCAGCAAAGAAAAAGAAGACTGACGTATGACAACTCTTCCTGCTCTAGTAGCGAAGATAATTGAAGCCTTGCTTCTGCGGTGTTTCCTTGCTACCTATACTGAGCTAACTATCAATATGGTATTGATAACTCATAGTTCTTAGCGTTTCCATCGCTGCGAGACAAGCGACCTGATAGCGTTTGACTGGTAGAAAGCTATTGACATGTTTTCAACTCCGTCTATATGTCTATCAAAAGACATTTATCCAGCCCCCCAGAGCATCAACGGTGGACGGCGGATTACATGAATGTTCGGAAATCGTTGGTCATATTTTGAGGTAAATCATTGAAGCACAGAATAATTAAACAGTAGTTCCCTCAGAAGAAAGCCTACACTCAGCTATTTTTTAATTGTAGTAAAAAAAAAAAACATTCTTAACCAGCCTAGCAGCAAAGAGTTCAAATAGTTCGCCGACGGTATTTGCAGCAAAGAAATTTAAGAGGTTTTAAACTATACTGCTATATTTTAATCAAGTCTAGTAGAGCGCAGTGGAAGAAAATACAAATCTTATATGTAGTGACAAGAGAGCAAATCACTCTCGAGGTTGTAATTTGGAAGGCGCATTCTATGGTATTCCAGATTTTATCGCTTAACCTTCCTTGAGAGATACATTTCTATCAGATTGTAAAGATATTCGCATCAGGTTCTGCTGCTTTTCGCTTACCATAAGCCTGCAGAGAAAATAACAACCGTGGATATTAAGAGGTGCCACATGTCGTATGAGTAATTTTAGCGCATTGCATACTCCTATTGAACGGAGTTCCAACGTTTTAGGAAAATAAGGATATAAATCTTTCACTGGAATATATAAAACTAAGAAAACATTTGGTACTTTTGTTAAAGCAATTTTATACTTAATTCTATGTTTAAAAAAAATTCTTTCGCTGTTGTATAAGTTCCGACGACATTCTGGAGTAAAATGTGCCACTAGTCACAATGGAATGGCCGTTTAGTAAAAAAGTAATAATTACACTGTAGATTAGCCAAAATTACACAAAAAAAAAAAACGCCGAACGTTTGGTATCTGACATACTTCTGAGCCGCTTTACAAAGTAAGTTATGTACGTGTAATGCAGAGCAGTCGCTCGGAGTAGTTCGGCGCTTGGAAATAACTTCGGCTGCACGTTACTTTACAACTGACAACGTAATGTGTCGTCGGAGGTGTTCACTTTGCGCTTTACTAGTAGATGACATTGGCCATGATGGCAATTTTGGTACTAAAAACTGAAAGAAAACATGGCTTACCTCGTAAGGTGCTTACCTATTTTCCCAGTGGGTGCTTGATAAATACACATACATACGTACATATGATTTCATTATAAAAGTTCATACATGGCGTATGAGTAACATTCTTTCCTAGTTATATTTCATAATAAAATTATTACGCATTTTAATGATAGCTTGATGCTTTTGTAAAAGAATAGGCTCTAACACTAATCGAAAGAATTTACAAAAAATCTTTTATTTTAAAATTTTGTCTCTATTAAATTTGCATCTTTTTATTCACAATGCAAACTTTAAATGCAAATAATTATAATAGATTGGCGCTTACACATATGCTAGTGTTTGGCCGAGCTTCTCCTCCGATTTGTGGTGTGCGCCTTGATGTTGTCACACAAACGGGTGGGACCTACAGTTTTACGCCGACTCCGAACGGCGATTGTATTTTTATGAGAAGCTGTTTTTCATGGCAGAAATACACTCAGAGGTTTGCCATTCCCTGCCGAGAGGCGACCGCTGTTAAAAGAAAACCTTTTTTCTATATATTTTGGCGATGTTGCTTTGTTTGGTACTTGTAATTGCATTGTAATGATATTGGTAATAGTAATTATAACGGCAATGGTAATGGTAACAGTAATGGTAATAATTAAGGTAATGACAATGGTAATACTAATGGAAACTAGTGATGGTATCGATAATGGCAACTGCAATGTAATAGTATTGGTAATGGTAATTTAAATAATATTAATTAAAAAATAGAAAGAGGAGTAGTAATGGCGATTTTAATGGTATTGATAAAGCCATCTTAAAAAATCAATACTTGCGTTAATTGCATTTCAAATTGGCGTCAGTTGGCACAGAAAAAAATGACTGGCGTGCCGTCCAAAATCGCTTAGGCGGTTACGGTGCCAATAAAGAAGAAGAAGAAGAAGCTTTTGGCTTTTTCACACCAACACTTTACGAATGTAACGGTTAAAATAATGATTGCACACTCTCGATGCGACATGTCAACCCTAATATTTAAGTAGTATCCACAATGCCTTCCACATCGAATTGGACAACGAGGAATGTGTTGGAGCAAACAAACCGAAATTTTACTTTTTTACCATTCGCTGAGAGCAAGCACACAATTTTTTTTTAATGTACTATGCTCTCCAACGCGCTGCCTCTCTCTACTCACAATCTCAGCGAATTTTCATTTGATAAGCGAGAAATGCGCACGGTCTTCAAAGCGACGCACATTGGCACACCAACAATGCCTGTTGGCACTCATACAACGCGGCCACCCACCTTAACGTGAACCTCTACCACCACCTCTAGTATACCGCTTCCATTTGTTGGTCAGCAGCACCAATTCTCACTTTGCATTTTGGAGCAGAACAACAATAATACCCTACAAGACATTGCTGAGTACTTTAGGCAAAAATTCTAACACAGTAGTTTGACTATTAGTACTGGGGACTTTCTGATGACAACATTGTGGGAAAAGTACTAAATTTTTTCCCATGGTCTGAACAAAAATTAATACTTTGATATCAATATGAGCACTCATATGCTACTCAGCTGTCTTGTAGGGTATGTATGTATGTTTGTATTTAGACGAAGCAAAGAAAAAAAGGTATGGAAAATCCGAAAATGTTCGACGTGCCACTCGCAACGAGCGCTGTCTACTGTGTTTTTGAGTCTATCGGCAAACGAAAGCGAAAAATTGACAGTTGTGCCTGAAAAGTGGAAAGCGACGCATGTCTATCGAACAAAACGGAAAGCTATAAAAATACCAAAACCAACTAAGTGTTGAATGGAAAGTAGTGAATTTCTATTTGAAATACTTTAAAGGATTCTGAGAGCCAAAACAATTAAACAAAGAAAAGAAAAACAAAAATCAAGAAAGTGTTAGCATAAATGCATAACTGCGCGAAGGAAGTGAAAAGTGTGGTTGTCTTAAATATGTTTGACATCTAAAAGAAAAAAAAAAATTTGCACATTTGTATGTATTCCAATGTGTGTTGGTGTGTTTGTGCAAGCGTCATTATCCTTATGGCAAAATAAGTATGCGAAACTGTAAAAATAAAGGATGCAGGCAGTGTAGTACATAAATGCTAACAAATGATACTGTGTTTCTGACATAAATTGAAAAAGTAAACAACTAAGTAAAAATTGCGCAGCGCCGAAAATAGTGTGAAAAAGCTCTTCACATAGGTACATATTTGTAAGAACAAAATTAAATGAGAAATTTCGATATGCATATCCGCGTTCTTTCTTACATACGCATTCAATATTGACTTTAACTTGCCATTTTATATATTTTTTTTTGTTTTTTGTTCCGTTTTGTTTTTATTTCGTGTTTACGACTTTTTTATACGACTTCGCAATTGCCGGTCTTAATTATTTATACAACAATTTGTTTGTTAAGCCAGCTGTGGCCAAAGAATTATCAACACTAGAGACTTTACTTCTCTATAAACGTCAGCAAGTGTCGTTTACGAAACCAAAAAAAAAGTAACAAAAAATAACAACAAAATCGTCGATAGCAGCACCGGCGCAGCAGCATTTCAAGCAGCATCAACAGTAGCAACAATAAACCGTTAGTTCAGTGGGGTCAATGACGAGCACGTCATTGAATTTATGAACTGGTTAAGTGAGTAGAATATCAACAACAACAATTATATAATAGAATCTCGAATTATTTAGAACTTTGATACTAATTTATGGCCTCTTAACTAGAAAGGCATAAAAAATTTGAATTTTTGAATTTTTTAGAACACACAGTTCATTTAGTAGATATTTAATTAAGTAAGATACTAGAAAATGATGTTGTTGGCAACTTTTGTTCATTTATTTATTTCTAATAATTTTCATTTAAACAGAAACCATATAAATAAAACTTTCAGAGCTTGCATAAAGTTCACAAAAACTAATCAAACTAAAAATGTTCATCAAAATTTCAAACTTTTAATTCAGAACTTTTAGGGCCGCTAACTTATCTATTTTAAAGTATAGTTAAATGATTAGTTAAACTATAGTTTAAAATCGTTAAGTTAACGGCGCTTAGAAAGTATGCAGTTTTGTAGCTCATTAAATTTCAGAATAATAAAGTTCAAGTTTCAAGTTGGTTAAAATTACCGTTGATTTTTTTATTTTTTTTGTGGAGGGTGTTGCGCATTATCTTCCATTTGAAAATGTATTTGGATTATATCACCTCTCATTAAATTTAACTGGAACTTTTAAACTATGGGCAATACTCTTCAAAAATGATTGATAACTAAAGCCTCCTTAAACCTCTCTCTTCAAGAAAAGTATTTTATAAATAAACATTAAAAATAAAGTTTTTCTAAACCTGACTACTTTGACACCATTATTAAAATATTTAACTTTATTTGTTAGTTGAATTGATTTAAATTTCTGAATAGGTGGTAACTCTCTACAAAAATACTTTCAAAATAAGGGATCCTTAAACCTCTCTCGTTTGGCCCCATATCAAATTCTTTCGTTTTAGTTGCTAACAAAAATTGATTTCGAATTTCTAAACAGGTGGCAGCCCCTCTACAACAATATTTTCGAAATACAGCTTTCTTTGACCTCTCTCGTTTTATCCCCATATTAAATAATTTTATTTAATTGGTTAATAAAATTGATTTCGAATTTCTAAACAGGTGGCAACCTTTTTTTCTTAAACTACTCTCGTTTCACAGGCATTTTAAAATACTTAACTTAACTTGTTGCTCAAACGCAACCCTCTTAGAAAAATTTTGGAAAAAAAAACCTTCTTAGGCCACTCTTGTTTGATATTTTTACATATTTGATATTCATATGTGTTTGAACTGTTTAATTAAATTGATTTTAACTTTTTTAACAAGTGGCAGCCCAATTCAAGAGACTTTCAAAACAAGTCGTTTTTGAATCCGTTTCATTTGAACCCCACGTTGTTGTAATATTATTGAAAAGGCGGTAATTCTAATAAAAAAAATATCCTATGTATTAATCCAGGCTGTTACATATTTGTGTTCCAAACTTAATTGCATCAGGTCCTGCCGTTTTAGCGCTAAAGAGTAACAAACAAACTCACATACTCAATCACAGACCTTCATTTCATAATATCGAGACCTAACCGCGAAAAAACGTAGGCGATATTTTATCTAACATTTTCTTTCTGATGCAGCAATGCTCCTAGAGCATACAGATGCATTTCTGGGTAAAAAAAAAAATAAATAAAAAATGTGGATGGATCGGGAGCAATCAAAGGAGTTCCTTGGGCTTTGAAAAGCCATTAACTAACCCTTAGAAGCTCTCGGGCATTGAAATTAATTTCGTAATTGGCTCGCTGCGTTTCGCCGATGCCCTCCATTCAAAATCTATGTTTTATCATAAAGGACGTGCTAAGTGTTTAAGTGCGTCCCCTAACTGCGACAACTACCATAACTTAATTTAACCTAATGCTGTTTCGGCGAATCCACTGTGCAAGCTTAAACGGTTTATTACGGCTCCGAAGGTGCATTACAGCTGGTGAAAAGCTACTACGATTCTTGAGTTTTAGAGCAGCCTGTGTGCCGACCAGCTTGTTGTATGCAGAGCCGCGTCTGTGAAGGTGGCACGTGGAAAATAACTTTTTTTCGGCTTTAAAAGAGTCCTGGCTAGACTCAACCAAAAATTTGAGATCTCAGGATGGAAAAGTATACATACCTTACCGATAAAGATCAGGAATCGATGAAGTCGCCGGAATGTCGAGAGATGAATGAAAGGCGTTGGCTTCGGTCATCCTTGGGTACTTATGCGGGTAGTCCGAGGAAACTCTGGACTAGCGAAAAGTTTCGAAAAGACCCGTTGTGATGTGATTGCTAGCTGATCGGCTTAAAATCGCAAAAAGCTATTCTCTTAATGTTCACAAAAAGTTGCAAGACTTGGTTTGGTCACTTTTGGATGCACAGTGATATGACTAGTTCAAATATCTGACAGTTACGCGCGCTAAGTAGTCAATTATAATACCATCTTGGTAAAGTTCTTACTTAAGAACATCCGTCGTGCGGGTAGGGTTGGGTTTCTGTTCAAGGTGTGGTCTAATTAAAGTTTAACAACGTGGCTTTACCACCTGATTGATTGTGTCTTATGCTTTCGTGGTGAAGTGACCAAAATGAGTGAAAAAAATTTGTCATACTATGTTCAATAAGGACTTGATATACTACGGCTTTGGAGTTGCTGCAAGAATGAAGTCTTCATCATAGTTTTGTGCTGGTAAGAGTTGTCTCGAAGACCTTCTACTGCGATTTTTTTTTCTAAATAAAAATAAGCTCGACACAGGTACTCTAGAGATGGTCACTGTTTTGTTTTTGGCGGCTACTAGTAGTAGTTTCAATTGCTGATGGGGTAAACCTAGAATACATAGTTTAATTTTTACTTTTGTGTAATAAATATCCGCAATTCTATTAGCAAAATATGTTTAACACAGAGGTTTACTCAACAAAGCGACCACAATAGGTTATCAAAAGTTCGCACCTCCTACAGGAAATTGACTTATCAGCTTTGTTTGCTGCTATGTACTTTTATTATTTATTTTTTTAAATAATGCGTCATAGAGATGCACAGAACTTCATCTTGAGAAAATAAGTATTAGGAGACCGTTTTTCTAGTTTTCTTAAGAGCCTTAGAGAGGTTTTCTAACTTAAATAGCACGTCTTATAACTTACAAAGTACAATGCAAGAGGACCAGGGACCGATCTATTCGAAAAAAATCGTATTTATGGTCCGATTTGCTTGAAATTTGGTACGTTGGTAGAATTTTGCATAGGCTAGCATAAAGGATCATGTTTTCCGGTCGCTCGACCAGGGACTGATCAATTCGAAAAAATCTTCTTTACCAAATAGATTACTTTCTGTGGCCCAGTGATACTCCCCATTTTGAAATTGCTGCCAACTATACTTTACTGATTCAACGACGATTCACCATCCCACCGGATCATCATTGCCGCAAGAACTTATACTGAGGATATGCCTTCTGAGGACCACAAAACCAAACGTTGGACGGAATGTTTCAATAAAAAAATAAATTTTTGGACGGGACGAAGTTCGCCAGGTCTGCTAGTAACTTTTGTTTGATATTTTTTATATTTTGTGCTTGGATATTGGAGTATGTTTTAATTTATATACAACGCTAAATTTAGATTATTTTTTTTTTTTTTTTGAAAGAGTTAAAGTTTTGAGCAAATTGTCTGCTGATATTTATTTAACTCGCACTTTTTATCTCTTTGTTTGCTTAATTTCTGAAAAAAAACAGACAACAAACAATAACATAAAACGTCGGATTGGTTATTTAATCGCAGCTCAAGAGACACACCTTAAATCATTATACACTCAAATATTCTGCATTAAAGCCGGGGTTTGCTTAGCCAATGAGCGCATAATTAAATATGTGGTCACTTGTACAGATAATTAGCAGATACGCACACGTGTCCGCGCTGATATGGCACATCCGCCGCCATCGTCGTTATCGTCATAATAATCGATTTTAAATTCAACAACGAACGAACTTTTTGCCCCTCTCTGTATTGGTATTTATTTTAGCTGATAATTATGACACCCCAAGGAATATAGATGGGTGTGTGAAGAGCAGCGCGGAATAGCGAATACAATGACAGCGCGGAATCTCATTACAGCAGTTGAGGCTAGTACGGGTATGTCCGCATGGTTGTTGACGTCGATGCACATTAAGATGGGTCGATGGTTTGATTATAAAAAGTTCATCTCAAGGAAAAATACTAAACCGACTTAATTTTCTAAACAAAATAAGTCTAGTTTCATTGCAGCTTTTAAATTCGCACTTTGGATGACAAATATGTAAATACAGTTAATTGTAACAAATTTTTAAGCATTGCGAAAATGGTATTCAATGCTAAAAATAAAATCTAAAGAAAGATTTAAGCACTTAAGACTACAACATATCCTGTGGGTGAAGCTTATTAAAGCTTTTCCTAGATTCTAAATCAGTGATGCACAGAGAGAGCTTTTACTTTGTGCGCGTCCATATAAAACCGTTATGGGCACTGCCTTGCCCGCTGACAATCAGATAGAGATTTTACGCTTTAAAATACATCCACAGTTTTAAAAAGTTTCTCTAAGTTGTTTAGAAATAATTATATCGAAAGCTATAGCCTTCAGATAGAGCTTTTACTCTGTGTGCTTTCATATATCATCTGTTGAAAGCTTTAAAAAGTTTCTCTAGGTTATTTAGAAATTGCTGCACCTTAATCGACTACCAGAGGGAGTTTTTATTATGTACGTAAAAGGCTTCTTTTGATTATTTAGAAACAACTTTAAAGAAAGCTTTAAGAAGTCTCTCGGGCTATAGTTTATTCGTTACAGTTTCAAAGCTAAGATATGATCTTTAGGACACTTGGGAGGGGAATTCACTCATAACATTCCAATTTAACTTCACGAGACATCTGCTTATCGAGTGAACACGCGTTTTTAGGCTGAGTTTATGAAACTTTCAATTCTGTTTCAAGCAAAATGCACTTAAATATTTGCCTGAATTTGTGAATACTTCCTCGAACGCTCTGTATAGTAGATAAAACTCGGCACCCAGCTTTTCAAGTGCTGCGGCTTACGGAGGTCACCTCGAGGCTCTAGACGCTAGTCGTTATATTT